AAATGCAGTTTTAGCATAGGTCAGGAGGGGAAGGGTTTCAATATCATCCAAAAGTCTACATCTCAGTGAGTCTAACTGTGAAATGCAATACAGAAGAGAAGAGCGGGAGGAAGTCTGAGATGTAATTGTCAGTCCGCCACTTTGACAACTTTTCACTTCAGCATCCTTCACCGCCAAGGTTACCATTTCTCAATTATCCGTTTCCTTTGTGCTGGGTGCAGGCGGCTGCTGCTTGGGGAACAATTTCAAGGTTTCCTTCTCTGTGTGTATTTATTCTGCAGTTTCCTGTTTCTTTTCCCCTCAGCTTTTGCTGTTAAAAAACTTCACTTAAATTTTGTTGTTTTTACAGATGAATGTGACAATTCTGAAAGTGTGTTGGATTCTTGACTGTGGTGGGAAATTTTAAACTGAGGCCTGGTGGGTAGCACATTGAATGGGAAGTGAATGCCGCCTCCTGTGGCTCCCACACAAGATCAGGAAGAAACATGCCATTCAGCCTTTGTTCCTTTGGGTTTTCTTCTCTGATACTGCCTCTCTGTCAAAAAATCTTCCTTCTCACAAGCGTGATTGTTATTTAAAAATCAGAATAAAACTCATTACAGATTGGATTTCTCCATTCTTCTTTTCCCCATTTGCCTTTCTCATCTCCCCTCCCCCACCTCTTTCTTACATTTTTCTTCCTATTTGTCCTTTTGTCATTTCACCCTAAAGAAATTACACACACTTCTTCCTCCTCGCATCGACAACTACACACTATATTTGGCTTTAAGGCACCACCAACATTCAACAAATACTCATTTACCAGTTATTAAGCTCAACTTTGGGCCAGGCTGTAGGTATTCACAAATGTATTGGACACAGTTCCTGTCTTTAGGGATCTTATATTAGAGTGGAGGATGGAGATAAGTAAATGGAAAATTATAATGCATGTGGCAAGTGGCTATCGTGTATAAAGAAGGGTGCTCAACATTGGACAAATCCGATGGGAGAAATTCTAACCTGCACTCTGGCCAATGCATAGAAGTTAGCATTTGGAAGAGTGGATGGGGGTTGAGGTGAGTGGCTGATATGTTTCAGGTGACATGGAGATGAGGTATGCTGGAAAGCATTGAAGAAATTTAATAGAGTTAAAATAAAGTGATGGGAAGAACAGCATAAAATCAGATTAGAGATGTAATGAGTCAAAAACAATTTTTTTAAGACCCTGGTACAGGTTTTTATACCCTGCTAAGGATTATAGCATTTTCTACCTCTGAATGTAGAGGGGAATCATGTGAAGATTTTAATCTTATGAAGGGTGTCTCATGATCATAGTTACATATTTGGCTACAGCACAGAGAATGCATTACATTCAGTCAACAATATTTATCAGGCACTTACGAAGTGCTAAATACTGCAAATATAGTTGTGGAAAAGGCAGATACCAAGCCTGCCTTTAGTTCCAGAGGATGGCAATTTTGGTGGCAGAAAGTCCAGTTAGGAGGCAATAACCTGTGAAAAATTTTAGTGGTCTACAGTATTGCCCTAGGGATGGAAATAAGTGTATACATTTAGGAGATATTGAGGAAGGAGTATTAAGAGAAGATAGTAACTGACTGGTCAGGGATGGGGTTGGTAAGAGAGAGAAGGCATGGGTCTTTAGAGACTTCCAAATGTTGACCTTCGTTCTGCTTCCTCTTTTAGTTTGACAGCCTGGTGATGTTGTGGATGTTTCTATTTCATATGTATAGTTGTCTGTTTGACCAGCTGTCAGTTTTGTCATCTCATTTGGTGGGTGCATAGTGGAATGGAAATACAATGGGTCGTTGACCTTGTAGCAGAGACCATTTGCTATGGGAAAGCTATTACCAAGAATTATGCTAAGCAGCTCTTCTTGTCAGATGAGTTTTGCTAAATGGCTACTTTTTAAAAGATGATATGCAGTACAATAAAGCTGCAGGGATTGGATGTAGAAGGGGAGGCAAGTTCATTGGCAAAAAGTGAGAAAATGTAGAGTGCCGTAACAAAGTTAGTAGTAAGAAGGCTGAGGGGAAACAAAGGCAATGAAAGATTAAAAATAGGCATTTGTCTATTGAGGGGAGAATATAACAGATTATTTCTCTAAGAGGTTTCCCGATGGCACTTGTATCATGTAATACTCTGTGGAGAGAGGTTTTTGGAAAATGTCACACACTCAGATATGCCTCTTGTTAAAAAATCTGCTTAAATTTGTTGAACCCAAAATTTAAAAAAAAATATATATTTTATGGATTTTTTAGAGAAAGAGGAAGGGAGAGAGGAGAGAGAAACATCAATGTGAGGGCAAAACATTAATTGGCTGCCTCCTGCACACCCCCTAACAGGGAACAAGCCTACAACCTGGGCATATGCCCTGCCTGGAATCAAACCCAGCAACCTTTTAGTGTATGGGATGACACCCAATCACCTGAGTCACACTGGCCAAGGCTGTTGAACCCAGAACTTTACAAATACATTTGCCCCAATGTTTTTCACTGATACTGCGTTAATATTCTGTGGAACTGGTGCCTCACAAGACACAATTAGGAGAATGCTGGTCTAAGTTATGATCATAGTAAGGATTAGCACTTACTGAGCTTTTATTATCTTCTATGCATAATGCTAAACTCTTACATGAGTTATCTTATTTCGTCTTCATATCTACAACACTATGAAGTAGATACTATTATAATCCTCATTTTAGTGACAACAAAAAACTCAGAGTTATTAACTAATTTGTCCAAAGTCATATAGTCAGTAGGTAGGAATTTTAAACCAAACAGTTTAATCTAAAAAGTTAGGCACCCATCCCTTTGTACACGATCTGACATGTTACAAGATCAAGTTCCACAATGAACTTCAGGCTGTTGATGCCACTGAGACTCCCTTCATTCACCATATAAATGGGACTGTCCTCTCATGTACTCAAGAATCAACATAACATCCAAATGACTGAACATTATCTAACTTCAAAGTTGTTGATCCCTGTACATGTCAGCCAGTGGGCCAGGCATTTCACATGCATTATTCCATATTACAGAAGAAGAAACTGAAGAACCAGATCAGAAACTCACACAAGATCACACAATTTTTTTTTTAAATATATTTTATTGATTTTTTACAGAGAGGAAGGGAGAGAGAGATAGAGAGTTAGAAACATCGATGAGAGAGAAACATCGATCAGCTGCCTCTTGCACATCTCCCACTGGGGATATGCCCGCAACCCAGGTACATGCCCTTGACCGGAATCGAACCTGGGACCTTTCAGTCCACAAGCCGACGCTCTATCCACTGAGCCAAACCGGTTTCGGCAAGATCACACAATTTGAAGCTGGTAGAGCCTGGATTCAAATCCAGACTGTAAGACTCAAGAGTGAATCTATATTCTTAATCATACAATGTTGCTTTCTCAGCATCTGAATGAGTGTGCATAAGGCTAAGAAATGTTAACATACATGTACAGTAGGTCCTCGGGTTATGTCGGAGATCCGTTCCTATGGCGACATAACGCGATTTTTGCGGTAAGTCGGAACCCACCTATATAAGCATCTACGTCACTCACATGGAGCACATACACAGCAGTAATGAAGTGAAACAGTAAGAAAAATTTAAAAGAAGAAAGATAACAGTTCCTGACCTTTCCTTGTGGCAAATAAATAATAAAAAACATAAAGCACATATATACATATGTCGAAATGACGGAACTTTTTTTTAAAAAATAAATAAATGGGAGATGGCGACGTAACCTGAGGACTGTCTATATATTACAGATACATAATATATTAATTTATTTTTTACATATTTATCAATATGAAAGGCTTCTTTTCAAAATTGTATAGCCACTATTGCTACCACTGAGTCGTATTTTTGGAGCTGGTATAATTGGAAACAAAGGTGGGAGGAAAAAGCTGACGGAGAATTCAGGAGGAATCAGGCTAGGTCAGGAACTGAACTCATGAACTTACTTCAGTCGAACCAAGGCAAGAATCTGCAGGTCAAGCAGGAGTGAAACTGAGAAGGCACTGAGTGACGGACATATGTGTTATCTCCCTAAAAAATAAATGCAGAATGACTATACTTTATATTAGCTTTGCTTACCTCTTAGCAATGTAGTAATATAGGATTTTAATATTAGACAATTCTGGGTTTGGATTTTTATTATTAAACATTACCTCAGGCCAATTTCCAAATTTTGTCATCTGTGAAATGGGGATAGTTATACGAACATCTTGAATTTGTTCTGGAGAGCAATTGAAATAATATTCTATAAAGTCCTAGAGAAAGTAGGTGCTGAACTTTTATTGTAAGTAGCTATGATTTTATAACATTTCTTTGCTTTCCTTAGTTTTGTGTGCTCAACTTGAGAATGTTAAGTTGGTACTTTTTCTATCTGCTTTTCCATTTTTCCCCTACTTCTGATAAGTACAGCACAGAGGAGTTCAACAATATTAAAATATCTGCGTATCTCCAGCAGTAGTGATGTATAATGACAAAGCTATTTTACCTGGTGATTTTTTTTTTAAAGCACACTAGGAATAATAGATTTGAAGTGATTTTATTCTGTGCAGAAATTAATCTAGCTTTTTTTAATCTAAACTGCTTACCCTGACCATTTGACTTGGCATTGAAGAAGGAATATTTAGAAAAAAAAGTAAAATAAGTCACTTTTTAGAGATTATTCAAACAACTGTGCCTTTGATTTTGTGAATAAGTTGTGTGTGTGGAGAGGAAAATGGTACTACTTCTCATTTGATTTAGGCTATTGTTAAATGAATGAAGACTGACTTAGGCAGAACTCTCTTATCTCATATGAAGGTTGCTTAGAAAACATTTTTTTCTCTTCATAGTTTATATGCAACGGACAGCATTTTAAATATGATAAATGCAATTTTCAGGAGTTAAATGGGCTAAGGTATCATGAAAAGCTTTAAAGTAGCATAATTATAATGGAAAAGCAATGGCTTCATATACTTAGGATTTTTATTATTATTTTCTATTTGCAGGATGAGTAAGGGATACTTACAGAAAGCAACAAAAGGAAAACTGCTAATAATAATATTTATTGTAACCTTGTGGGGGAAAGTCATATCCAGCGCAAACCATCATAAAGGTAAGTTCTTCTGTTTTCTTTCTCAGCCACCTGGAGAAGGTGACTTCCTTCAACACTGACTGTTATGTTCCATTTTCACTGGGATATTAATTTTATTGGATATGGGTCCCCCTGGCGATTCTCTTTAAGTAAAAATGCAGAGATAGTTATCCTGACGACGGCTTTGATAGGGGAAGCATGACTATTTAAGTGGTTCCAGGATAGTTGCCATTTCTGCAAATAGTGTTCAAAGAGTCTGGAATTGTGACTCAGGCTTTCACATCACTTACAACTTAAAGAGAGTGATGTTGGAATGTCGGGTTGACACGTAATAAAGACGAGTGTCAGGTTGTAGTCATCCTCGTAATGAAAGCATCCTTAATGATATGTATCTTAACAATATGCACATATGGAAATTTTCCTTCAGGGCTTTTGTGCATCTTACTTCTTTGTGCCAGGGTACCTTTGTAGCCACCATTTGGACTCTCTGTCTAGTCTGATATTTAGCATTCTAATTCTGCTATAGAACAGCATGAGAATATTTGTTTCATACATGTTTTAAGCTTGACAGCTCAAAATTATGTCCTGTCTGTTCTCTTTCCTGAGCGTGAGACTCAATATAATGAGTAACTACTTCTTTCCAAGTGAATGAAAATGGGACTATTTCTAAACTGTCCCTACCATAATCATGTATTTATAACCTGAGGAGTCAATTTAGATTTTTCTCTGAAATATGATTTTACAGTTTAATTCTCAGTACTCTGTAAATTCTAGAGGCTAGCTAGCAACTTACTTTCTGATTTTGTGTTGGGGTGAAAAGGGGAGTTAAGACCACCTTGAATTCTGTAACACTTAAATTAGTTACACGTGTGCATTTAATTAGCATTCCATGGAACGTTAACAGCAGGGAAAGGAAAGCTGTGGCATGAAGGAATGATGCTTATCAGACAAAAACTTTTCCCCCAGAGCCATCTTTCTAATAATGAATTTTATGAAGAGGTCTTTTATATTTCATAATCCTGTTTTTGTCCCATTGTGTGTGTTTATTATATATATTTTAGAGCTTTCTTTAATACTGCACACTGATCCACATATCAAACTTTAAATTCTCTTTAATAATTGGTATTAATAAAATATGTTGAGCGTCCTAGGACATTATTCCCTGTGCCTCCAAAATGGCAACATTGAACCAAACTTAAGGACAAACTAGAGTTAAATACTCACCTTTAAAAAGAGTTGAAAACCACTGGGGCCAGCTCCCCTGTCTTGGTTTTATTAAGAGAAGACATGTCATCCTTACTATCCGGAGGACTATAATGCTATTATGTAAATTCAATAACAACCAAAAATTAAGCAACATGCCATTTGGAGATATATATGTACATCCCTTCCTAGGTTATAAAAAATAGTTGAGAGAAGATGGGGAGACTCACAGGAACTGTGGGTGTCAGCCTGGTGAAGCAAGGTTTGTGAGAAAGATGCTTTTCATCTGCAAAGCCAAGTGATGAGGTTGCAAAGAGAACCATGCACAACGACGACCCTGCAGTGACTATTACATGTAATTTTTTAAAGCTACTTTTGATAATTTTTAAGTTGTGTTATGGTCCATGCTAACTCTGAAACTAAGGTTTTTCCTTACTTTTTGCCAAGAAAATACTTCTTGAACAAAGAGATTACACATTTCAGAAAACCTACTTAAAGTGCCAAACCCAGTACATTATAGAATTTTGTGCCCTTTTGGTGTTTCATTCTCACCTTATCACTGATATTTTGATAAATGTTTGAGAACAGATTTCTCTATACTTTCCTTTTTCCTTATTCCCCTCTTCCTTCCTTCCTTTCTTTTATATTTTCCATACAAAATGTCCCTTTAGTTTAAAGTATTTTACATTTAAAATAAGAAGTAGAATGTATATGTGCATTTCAGGAATGTTCATAAAACAAACAGCAGTGTGCTCACCACCCAACTGAGAAATGTAACATTTCTAATTCTCTTGAAACTGGCTGTGTCTGCCACTCTGATTTCATTCCTTTGCCTTTTCTCCAAGATAATCACTATTCTAAATTTTGTGATTATAATTCCTTTGTTTTTTATTTCACCATGTACGTATATATCTCCAAATGGCATGTTGCTTAATTTTTGATTGTTATTGAATTTAAGTAATAGCATTATATTGTATTTTTCTGTAATTTTCTATTTTCTCAGACAATATGTTTGTGGCATTTATTATAGTTGATGGCATGTAGCTGTAGTTTATTATTATTTTTTTTAATGTTGCACCGTATTTTATTGTATGAAGTCACCACAAGTTAGGTATTTATTCTCTGCTACATAAGCATTTGGTGTTCTATTTTCTTGCCATTATGACCGATATTTCTATGAACAATCTTATACTCCTGGTGCATGTGTGCAAGGCTCTGTTTTGAGCACATTCTGAGGAGCGCGATTTTATGAAATTTTTGCATTTTCTTTCTGGTGAATCTCATTCATGATACTTTATTTATTTTAGGATTTTTGATTTTTAAAAATGTTGTGAGCTAATGTTCATTGTAATCCTATTGATGAGAATTTTAAAGGCCTCTGCTTAGGATGCATTCTTCCAGAGATGGTTTGCATATGCCATGTGCCTTAGGTGAGGTTCTCTGGAAGCAGAGCCACGTCAGGAATTCTTGTTTATATTATTCATTGAAAGAGTGCTCCCAGGAGAGCAGCGGGCAAGAGCAGGAGTCAAAAGCTCAGCACAAATAGAGTCTCGGCTGGAGAACCGCCTGGGCAGGTCCTGGGGAGGCTCTGAAACATGATTTGCTCCACAGAATTGGTCCGTCCATGAGGTGAGATGGACAGCCTCTTCTACCCTTGTGTCCATTTGTCATTAGCTATGGATCTATTACCCATGGTACAGAGGGGCCTTCTTGGGGAAGTGGCTACTCTTTAGCAGAGGGTGAGTCTCCAAACAAGGCAGGGGCTATGAATAGTAATCTAACATTTACCGCAAATGGAAGACAGGTGCACAGCTGGCAGAAAGAACCTTGGTAATGAACCGGCCTATATTCCTCTGTAGTCTCCTCCTCGTGCCCTTCAGATCTGCTTGCTTCTCAGTCAAGTTTACTCCATCGAGCCCTGGCCAGTGTGACTCAGTTGGTTGAGTGTCCTCCTATGCACTGAGAGGTTGCCTATTTGATTCCCATCAGGGTACTTGCCCAGGTGGCTTGTTCAATCCCCAGTAGGGGGCATGCAGGAGGCAGCCAATCAATGGTTCTCACATCGATGTTTCTCTGTTCCACTCCCTTACTCTCTCTCTCTCTCTCTCTCTCTCTCTCTCTCTCTCCCTCTCTCTCACCCCCCCCCCCCACTCAAATAAATAAAGACATGTGTTGTTTTTTTTTTTTTAAAGGTTCACTTTATCCAGGCAAAGCTTATCAAAGATTCTGGTTGGTTATAATTTCCAAGAAACTGTACTTGAGCAAAAGTGGGGCCCCCACTCATGCAGTTTGTACCAGAGCCATTACCGATGCTCATTATCTGCCCATGCCCCTGGACATTTTAGGCTCTCCTCTCCTTCAGCTAGCACTTCTGCTCATTAAAGAGGCTTGCCTCATGTTTTATCCAGATCACATGCCTGAGGTTTCTTAACCCTGGATTATTATGCTTTTAAGCTGTGGTTATTGTACGAACACATTTATAATTATACTAGAGGCCCAGTGCATGGATTCATGCATTGGTGGGGTCCCTTGGCCTGGCCTGTGGGGATCAGGCCAAAACTGGCTCTCCAATATCCCCCGAGGGGTTCTGGATTGAGAGAGGGCAGTTCTCGGGTGATGCACCCTGGAATCAGGCTCCCTCCTGTCTGATTCTGGGCGCATCACCCAAGAACCGCCACTGCCAAGTGACCGCAGCTCTTTGAGTGTCTGCACCCTGGTGGTCAGTGCACACCACAGCTACTGGCTGGTCAGCCGGTCAGCCTGGCAGCTGGTTGGCCGGTCGCTTAGGCTTTTATATATATATATAGATTTAGTCATGGTGATGTCAAGAAATGCCCAGTGGATCATCTGAGAGCCAGGCCCTAACATATTCTTACCCATCCCAGTATACAAGAGATACCCTCTTCTTCATGATCATCATGGTCCTTTACCTCAACAGTATCTAACTCCTTTCTTTTTCTGCTGTCTGTGGGCTGAGCAGCAGCAGCTGTAGCTTTGTGTGTAGCAGGACTCTTACTTTTTCCCCTGGTAAAAGCATCTGCTTTCTTGGAAGCAATGCTTCTAGACTCACAGAGTCTATTTATAGTTTTCATAGGAATATTTTAGACTGGATAATTCTGATGAAATATTTGCTTTACTTCATAATTTTTGAGGACCAACAATAAGGGCTGAGAATATTGCAGAACATAAAGGAAGCAAAATCTTTGTCTATATGGAGTTTTTGTCCTAGAGGTGGGAAGATAGTTAATGAAAATAAAAATGGAAGTTTTACTGTGTAAATGCTATGGAAAAAATAAAGAAATAAAGAGGTATAAGAAGTGTTCAAGAGGAATTGTAATTTTAAATAAAGTCTTATGGGAAGACCTAAACTTTTCAATAGGACTCTATTGAATAGCCATGAATATTGGGGGAAGGATGTTCTAGGGTAGCAGCAATAAATATGAATGCTTTCAAGTAGAAGCATGCTTGCAGACAAGGAGAAATGATAAGAAGAGTGGTGTGAATAGAACAGAGGATGTAAGAAAGAAAGTAAGACATTAGGTCATTACAAAACAGGTGAATGAAGGAGAATAAAAAATAGAATAGATAGCTCATCAAAACACCAGTGCAATGGCTTTGTGCTCTCAAAAGCAACCCAATGCAGAATTGTGTTATTCTGATTTTTAAACATGATGTAGAAACACTTGTAGAAATCCAGAGTATTTGGATTTGAAAAATGAGATACCTAAAAATCAGAAAATGTCACCTGCTTAATAAAATCCTCTGAGCTTTGGGGACTACTAGTAAAATATCCCTTACACATTTGAATTAGTTTACTG